GATGGATGGATGGATGGATGGGTGGATGGATGGATGGACAGACAGTTGGACAGATAGATGGGTGGATGGTTGGATGGAAAGATGGATTGGGTGGATTGGTGGATGGTTGGATGGAAAGATGGATGGATGGTTGGATGGATGGATAGATGGATGGATGGTTGGATGGATGGTTGGATGGATAGACAGTTGGATAGATGGATGGGTGGATGGTTGGATGGATTGATGGATGGTTGGATGGACAGACAGATGGCTGGCTGGATGGATGGGTGGATGGATAGACAGTTGGATAGATGGATGGGTGGATGGTTGGATGGATTGATGGATGGTTGGATGGATAGACAGATGGGTGGATGGATGGATGGACAGACAGTTGGACAGATGGATGGGTGGATGGTTGGATGGATGGATGGATGGTTGGATGGAAGGATGGTTGGTTGGTTGCATGGACAGGACAGTGATGTGCAAGTGGAACTAGCAATAGCATTCATAATAGGAGGCAGCAAGAGTTCCCATCCCGGGAGCCCCTCTCAGCACCCTCTTGGAGCTATTCTGCACTCTCCTGGCCAAAGACCTGGAACCAAGAGACAAGGCCAAGGAAGCTGTGGTGCCCTTGCTGGCACCCTTTCCCAGTGAGGACAGCCCAGGCCTACAAACGGACCCCTCACAGAGCTCCTCCTCCTTCCCAGCCTCGGGAAGGCCTGCAGCTCTGACATGTGGTGCCAGTGTCTCAACCAGAGGACTGGGGGAGGGAGGCCTCAGACTGGGGCAGGAGTTCACCTCAGGCCATGAAGGCCTGCCATATGGCCAGACTGGCCAGCTATGGACCTGTGCATGGCTGACTACAGGAGGCAACTCCTGTGGGCACAAATCGAGTGCAGAGGAGGGAGGAGGCCCCGCTGGGCACACAGGGTCACAGTGGCAGTGAGGAGCCCAGGTGAGGGTTAGGCTCCCTTTGCATCCCCTGGCAGGCTGCTGCCCTGTCCAAGTGCCCCGTTTCCTGTTGTGTGGGGGTGGTAAAAGACTCCGAGTCACTGGGGACACACTCTCCCAGTGGCCACTGTGGGCACATGTGGGGCTCATCCCTCGCCCATTGGCAAGCAAGGATCGGGCCACCTGATGACAAGGGTGTCCCCTACAGCACAACCTGGGTACTCTTTCAGGGTGCTGCCCCTCCATTGCATCCTGGGAACACACCCACTGCTGCTGTGCACAGGGGCCCCTACTTAGACCCTGTGCGGTGGCAGGGTCAGTCAGGGGACCAGGGGGCGCCTGGGGCACATGCCTGCAGGCCTCCCAGGCCTGTCCTTCACTGTTTCTGTCCATGATATACAACCTCAGCACCCAGCTCTCGGGGCTCCCTCTGCCTGCACTGAGGGTGCGAGGGGCACCAAGGACCCTTACCTCGGGGACCCTTGGCTCCTCTCCAGCTCCACACCCTCGATAGGCAGCCCAGAGGCAGCGGGGCACACAGGGAAGTGTCCTAGCCCGCAGGAGGAGGCGTGGCGGAGTTGGGCCTGCCTGCCATGGTGGTCTCGGCTGCCCTCTGTTGGTCATGCTTGGCTTCTCACTGCCTTGCTAGTCTGCTGGCCCCGCAGGCCACAGGGCAGCCAGGATAGCGTGGGAC